GATATTATGTATGCATCCAGTCTGTTAGCCAGATTTATGCACTGCCCTACCAGTAAGCATGTTGGAACTGCTAAAAGAGTGTTAAGATACATTAAGGGCACACTTGATTATGGTCTGGAATATGTGAAAGGTAAGAACTCAATGTTAATTGGGTTCTGTGACAGTGACTGGAGTGGATCAATTGAGGACAGTAAAAGTACATCTGGTTATGCTTTCTCTTTTGGCAGTGGAGTATTCTCTTGGGCATCTGTGAAGCAAAATTGTGTTGCTCTTTCCACTGCAGAAGCAGAGTACATCAGTGCTTCAGAAGCAACTACTCAAGCCATTTGGTTGAGATTTGTTCTTGAAGACTTTGGAGAATTTCAAACCGAAGCCACTCCAGTGCACTGTGACAACACCTCAGCAATTGCAATCACCAAGAACTCTGTGTTCCATCAAAAGACCAAACACATTAACAGAAGATACCATTTCATCAAGGATGCACTGAAGGATGGCATCATTGATCTGGTGTACTGTCCAACTAATGAGCAACTTGCTGATATCTTCACAAAACCTTTGCCTAAAGATCGGTTTAATTATCTCAGGAGCATGCTAGGAGTGAAATCAGCTCAAGACTTAAAGGGGAGTGTTGAATTATAAGTCTCTAGCTGATTAAGTATTAGAAATAAGATGAATTTTAATGTGTGTATTCACTTGAGCATATCTGCCAAGTGTAAGGTTAAATGATGTAAGGCCATGAGTGCCATGTGGTATTTGATCCATGTATTTAGGTTGATGAGTGACTAAGATTAAAAGTAGTGTTTTGTGTGGTCCTAAAGCTAAGGCCATAAATTAAATGTAAAGCAGTGTGAGTGCACATTGTGTGTGCTGTAAAAAGATTATTCCTCTGCAATACTTTTGCAAGAGAGAACAGAAAGAAAACTTTTTCGGTTCAGCTTCCTCTGTCTTTTGTTCTTGCTTCTGTTCAGCCTTCTAGAAAATTAAACCCAGCTAAAATCAAGTAACACTAACAGCCTTATTTTCGAAACAAGGATGGCGTTTCTCTCAACAACCTGACTTTTTTGCCTATTATGTTTTCAAACCCGCTACTTTCCTATAACCGACTTTCTGGGTGCTCAGGTCAATGCCATTGGATCGTATGTTTGGAAGAGTATTGTTGCTGAGCGGCCGGTGATACATAAAGGGCATCGGTGGCAGCTGGGTGATATGAAGAATATCAGAATTGGGCAAGATAATTGGTTGCCAAAAAACTCCTACTTTCGAATGTGAGTCCACCGTTGGAGTACTAGGATTCTGAGGCCACAGTGGATAATCTCTTCCTTGCTGACTTGTGACAATGAGATTTTGAGCTGCTGCATGATATATTTTCTGAGGAGGAAATGGAACTAATTGTCAACCTTCCCCTCAGTATGCGTTCGGTTGTGGATTGTCGAATTTGGCATTATGAACGCAATGGGAAGTTCTAAGTCCGAAGTGCCTACCATGTGGCACGTGGAGTCATTCCTTCAGTTGGGGATGGCGCATGTGCTTCTTCTTATTCGTCTGATGATGGAAGGGAATAGTTATGGAAGAAATTATGGAATGCATGTGTTTCCGGGAAGGTCAAGATTTGTGTTTGGCGTGCATGTTTGGATTCTCTTCCCATAAGATCGAACCTTACAAAGAGGTGAGTGGCTGTGGATAATTTATGTGGTTTTTGTGGTTCACATGGTGAATCGACAGAACATTTACTAAGGTATTGCAGCATGGCGAAGGTTGTTTAGTTTGGTGGTTTGGAACTCAGGCTTGAGGATGGCAACACTCAACAACTTATGCAATGGTTACTACAAATTGATATGCACTTTCCACCTCGGTCTTTGACTTTTGTTTGATGACCTTACGGATGCTGTGGAAGAATAGAAATGATGCTATTTGACATGGATCTTTTTTTTTTTCGCCACAGGAGATGGTGTTTCTAGCAGAGCGTTGGCTGCAGAAGTATAAAAAATGGCATAATCTGTTGCGAGGAAGTCAAACCGTACCCCCAGAAGCGGAGAAAAGCTGATGTAGATTGGGTTAAATGTAACTTTGATGGGGCATGGATTCAAAAAGGTTTACGGGGCCGCTTTGGTGTTGTTCTTCGGGATCACATGGGGGAGTTCATCGCTGCTGCTGCTGGTACCATTGGAAGGATACTCTACTTTCCACGCTAAGCTCTTTGCTGCCCGTCAAGCTGTTTTGTTGGCCCAGGCTTATTGCCCAGTTGGTAAGAGTGTAGTATTCGAAGGAGACTCAATTATGGTATTGGCTGCCATGAAGGGTCAGGATGAAGATTGTTCACCTTTTGGTCCTATTATCAACGACCTTTGCTATTTACTCAAAACCTTGCCTCAGTTGTTGTTAAACCACGTTCAACAGGAAAGTAGCTCGGCAGCGCATGGCCTTGCTCGAGTGGGAATTGGCAGTAATCAACAGTGTATGTGGTTTGAAGAACCCTGATTTGCTTAGGGATATTTTGCCTATATATTGTCATATGAGGATAGGTTTTCTTATTGTGCAGGACACTCTTTTTTTTTTTAATTGGGTTGAAAGCTTTGGTAAGATTTTATCGAGGCCCATAATGCACACTATCTTCAATTTTTATGTTTTCTAATTTGCTCAATGAATATCATACTTTCTTAAAAAAAAAAAAAAAAAAAAAAAAAAATATATATATATATATATATATATATATATATATATATATATATAGAAGCGAATTACTACTTTTAACTTAGACTAGGACCTGGCAGGACCGGGAAGGGAAAAAGTTTAAACCCAAAACAAAATAGATTGTTGGAAATGGAGGCCCAACAGTAATAATTAGGCGATACACACCCACAAGGCATTGGCATGTTTTAGGAAAAATCCTGAATTCAAATTTAAAACTTCGACCACTCTTCCACATAACCAGACTTTCCATTTTAGAGGTGATTAGTCATTTTACCTTTCTCAACAATTATGCATAACCACCATATGCATGAAGAAGTCATTTAAATCTCTAGTCCTTATGAAGTCATTCTAAATGATAAAGAGGTCAAGAGCTTCGTGGCAATCGAAATGATAAGGAGACTCAATTGTATGGCTTAGCGCAATTTGGTTTTTTATCATAAATAACTAATCAACTATTGTACGCAAGAGCACACAAAAATATGTTTAGAAATACATATATACATATGTGTGTGCGTGTGTGTGTGTGCATATCATCAGGTGTCACCAAGGCACAAAGCGATCCATAAGCAAACACACAGTGTCCTCTGAACGCGAAGAAGAGTCCAAGTCCCTCTGGGTCTGAACCATCCTGCAGCTGTTCTCCTTTCGTGCTTCCTTAAACTCTCGTTGTTCTTGCTGCTGTTGTTCGGCGTGTTCGGCTTTCGATGACAACACCAATCGCTTCTTAGCACCTACCTTCTCTTTCAGTTTACTCAGCTCGCTCATCCATGCCTCTACCACTGCAGCCATACTTTTGAATTACTTGAATGCTTGAAATATGCTGCCTACTTTGCTGTATTGGTTTTCTGGTTTATTAAAGCTAATGGGGAGAGCTGGCTGTATGCCTCTAGGGTTTATATACAAGAAGAAGTCGTGGCCTTCCTGTGGTTTGGAAGAAAAATCACTGTGTGCCACGGCCGTTGGATATACGGTCGCACACAGGGTATAAATTTACGGATATACGATGGGGGTAGAGACAGAGCGGAGACGTGGGGTATAGGGGTTCAACGAGTGAATGAAAAGCCAAAAGCCATCCCAGTGGGCGCACAGAACTTGCTGTCGATTAGATTGTGGGCGACTTCGTAATTGACATATTATTAAATGTAATGTTAGGAATACTGAATTTGTAAATAAAACTTTAGAAACTAAATGATTGGAAGTTGATGATTGAATAGTTATTTAAGCGTTGATGAATGTGCTCATTCCTATTGGTAATACATCATTCATAAAATTTTGTTTCTCTAGCATTATCCTATTACTATTCATCAACTCTTAGGTTTGATTCTCGTCAAAGATGAATTTGAACCACATTACTACTAGTTTATTGTTAGGCTAGTCCACCTCATTATCTCTTAGTGTAGAAAATATCGTTTGGTTAAAAAAAAAAAAAAATTCTTTTAGGGCAACTCTAATGGTTGGGGGTTAAAACCTAACTTTCTAGTTCAGAAAATTTATGTTCTAACCCAAAAATATATTTATTTTCCAGTGATTTTAGCTTAAAATTTTAGTTCGAAATTATTAAAAAATGAATTTGGCCTAAATTTTTTTCCGGTAACTTCTAAAAAAAATTAAATGTCATATAGATTATCCTAATTTATTTTTATAAACATTTTAACCTAAAAATATTTAGATTCCAATATATTATGAAAAATAACTGAACTGCATGAAACATGAAAGTGATGGAACAACCATTCATAAACACTACCACCTCCTTTTCGATTGGTGTTGGAGTTGGAAATGAACTTCTCAATGATTTTAACCCATAAGACCTTTTTATTTTGATTTGTACCGATGATACCATCTTCATTAATAGAAACTCATGTCAATCACAACACAGTATCTTTATCATAAGATTTTATTATTATTTTGAATTGTGCTGTTCTCCACTGAAACTTCCAAGTTATTCCATGTATGAAACTCATGGAAAATATGTGCGTGAATTGATGTGTGTACCACAAGTGTTGTAAACAAAAGTGCATTGCCTGCTAATTTGTGTCCTTATTTTTATCTACTACACGGACAACACATGCTTCTTGTTTATTTATTTATTTTTTTTCTTTTTCTTTTCTGTGGTAAATCAAACTTCGGGGGTTATTTTGATTAATTTTTGAAAGACAATGATCAAAACGTAAAACTAAAGAGTAAAGAGGGTGCAAGATGTAATTAACGTTTTCCAATTGTTGGTGGCACCAAATAATGATTCCTGACGCGCACCGTATATAAGAATATACCTTCTCCTCCCGGTTCTCCTAAGAACAGAAGGCCCTCCGTCCTCCGTCCTGCGTCCTCCGTCACAGTCACAGTCACAGCAGAAAACTAATTCATCGGTCTACTTAATTCTGAGAAGAATGGAAGCTACGAAGCCATGGATAAACGCTTTCAGAGCAAAATCAAAGCAAGCCACGCTGCTTTGGCTCGAGGGCTTCCGAGAGGCCTGCTGCCTTCATCGCGTCCTCATCCTCTGCCACCGGTCTCTCTCTCTCTCTCTCTCTCTCTCTCCCCTCTCTCCTCTATCTCCAATAATTACTTCAATCGCACGCTTTAATTATTTTGATTAATTTCGGTTCAATTGCCTTTACTTTTTGTTTGGTTGCCGAGAAAACGGAACAAGCAAGAGAAGAAACTTCGCTTTGTTTTGCATAATTAACATTTGATTTATTATCTTTAATTTTTTTATGGCAGGTCGAGAAAGCTTATGATACGAACAGGACAGTGTTTTCTATTAAACGGCTTCATTTTCTTAGGAAGGTCACTCTCTCTCTCTCTCTCTCCCTCCCTCCCTCCCTCCCTCTGATGAGTCATGAAGACATTGCAATGACACAAGGATTGGCTATAAATCTGCAAAATTTTGTTGTGCTTTGCTCGTATTTTTCGACAGTTCAATTTTTTTCTGTTGATTATGATGTTCTAGAGTAGTCGTATAGTATATTTTCATATACATCTTCCAATTTTTCTTGTTTTTTTGTGCCCCCTTCCGAGTGGTTTTTAGACCGTAGAAGTTCACGTTGATTGTTTTGGCGAAGTTTTTTGGGTGCTCAATATAAGATGCAAATCGGGTTTTGTTGATCTTTCTGTGAGGTGTGAAAAATGTGAAGAACTACTTAAAATGACCACCGTTAAATGATTATATTAAGGTTGAGAAAGTTTGTAGCAATCCCTCGAAGTATTCTACAAAGATGAGCAACTAGTATTCAAATTTGGATCTTGCATTCTTTCTATTTCATCTGGTAAGGATGTAAAGATGTGAATTTAGGATGGACAAAGGGAAGAAAATCGAGGTTCCTTGTACTAAGATGGACTTAGGTCTAGGGAAAATAATTGTATGTAGAAGCTATGAATAATGTTGATCAAACTTCAAAGTAGAGGGATTAGAATGATAGAAGAAAGGGTGCGCTTTATCTAATTGTTTGTTTATAACTCTGACGCTTTTGTCTTTCATACTAAGAACAGCTTAAGAGAAGTTTGGTGTTCAATGTTTTATACACCCATTGTTAATCGTCCCTTCTTTGATAATGGACTGTGGATAATCAAGTTTGGTATAATCAAGGGAATGGTGTTTTCAAGCAGTTTATGTTTTTTTCACCCGTTGGACCCACAAAATTTTAAAAATGCCTGATTTTTTTATTTTTAATTGAACACTGGACATAAATCATTACAATAATCAACTACCTTCCCGTCCCAACTGTTGTGGAAATGACGTGTGGTATATTTTCTGATTCTAGAAGAACTACTCTAAACAAGAAAATTTAAAAAACACTAAACAATAAAACATACTCAATTTGGATGGTAAATGATTAATTTTGGTTCTTAAGAAATTTTATAATGCTTTTAGGTAATGTTATTTTCTTTTATGATTCTGGTTGATTACTTGTCCACTTTCCTCTCTCTTGTTTCACAACTTTTAATTCTTCTAGTAATCCCCTTTAGGGCTTATTTGACCCTCTGAGTTAGTTTCTTTGTGTTGCTGCATTCAAGAAATCAACATTTTAGCTTTCCTATGTTTTCCAAGACCACATTGGTGAAGAGAGTGCTTTTGACATCAAAGTGAACTAGACTGAATGAACTTGATTAACGTGTTGATATAGCCAATTTCTTTTGCCTAATATTATTGAGGTTTAAATGAATCAGTTAAATTAATGATTTTATAGTTTGGCTCAACTTTTCTATCTATATAGGCCTAGTTATTTCCTTTCCTGCTGAAGTTGGACTCTTATTACTATTACTCTCGATGCTGTCAAGCTTTTAGATGCTTATATCTGGTTATCTTAGTTTCCATTTCCCAGTATTACCTCTACATAGACATCACATAACGTAGAAGCTACATATAAAAGTGCTTTCAGTGTCTTGCTGGACAAAGTGCATTCTAAATCTGCATGCGTTAGTATTGACATTCAAATTCCTTATTCTGTCTCTTTGCAGTATAATTATCCTTAACTCAGTCATCATCCCAACTCTACACTGGATATTACCTGATAGATGCCCAGAATATAGTTCTCAAGAACTCTGCTCATTTGTTGGTACATTGAAATTTTATTCCGTCTTGCGGCATGGACTCGTACAACTCTTTTATGTAAGTATACAGCCAATTTAAGATCCTCACTTTGTGCATGGATGGCATTCTATTGAATATTTCGTAGTGGCAAAATGGATGAATATGCATTTTTTGTGTAATGTTTTGCCTCATTAAGTTTTGTAATCTTCGTGATATGGCTAAAGAAAGTGTATGCGTCATGTAATATTGGATGTTTAATTCTCTGTTTCTGATTATTGTACTGGTATGTAATATTGGTTTGTTTGTTATCTTACAAAATATTTCTTTATCACTATAGATGCCTGAATTACTGAAGGGATTCAATTCCTTTCTCAATTCACGGAATACATAATTTTCATTTATTTATTTTTGCTTTGCAGGTAACTTGGTTCTACCCACTGTACGTATTCAGCATTATCCTGAGCAACCTCTGGTACTACCAAATTATCCCCTTTTGCTTAATTGTTTTACCCCTACGTTATTTACTTGATTCTGTTTTAACTACCATAGGTATGAACTGAGCCCAGGTAAGGTATACATCTTTTTCTTGCAATGCAGAATGTTTAAAGTTCTGGAGGTCACTATGATCCTTTGGTGGTTATCAGGATTGGAGTGACAATAGTTCTTAATTTATGATATTTTGTTTAAAGTTCTGCATGTCTTGACATTTCCACTTCCCGATGCCTTTCTTTTTCCAATTTCTACTATGTGATTATCCAAATCTACTACAATTTTATTTTAACTAAAGGTACAATGACATTGCTAAGTATGGATTTTCTGCAATGGGGAGATCCACACCAACCACATTGGATCCTGTCAGACAAAATGATGTTGGTTTGGAAAGACCTGCTGGCGTAGAAGGGTAATTAACTTATTCTTAAATAGAGGTTAAGTTTTTTATTATTGTTATTGTTTTATATATTTATTATTTCAGACATTTCTTGTTGAATAGATATTTATGTATCTCATGAGTCGTGTATGCATCTGTTTAATCTGCAGGGTCATGATTGGTATAGGAGAGCAGGTGTATTCATTACTTCTTTTGACCTGTTTCTTCCTAGAGGTATAGATATCTTTTATTCTTTATTTATTTGGGTGTATGGATTCATAAAGGGAGGAACAGGATTTAGATTTCATACTTATTAGACTTAGAGAACGATAGAGAGAGAGAGAGGAGTTTATATTCAAATTGCAATATGCTCCATGGCTTATGTGCCACTTTTTGGATGACAGAATTGATGGCTTCTGCAGGTATATGTGACTGGATATATACCATATGTGGGGAAGGCAGTAAATTTTCTGCTTCTGTCCTGGATGTATGCCTATTACTGTTTCGAGTACGTGGTGCATATATCTTTTTGGCTTAATATGTTGCACTCACTAATTGCCTAGATAAGTGTGTGCTAATGCACCTTTTGAACTCTTTTAGGTACAAATGGAATTTTTCGGAAGTTCGTCTTGAAAAAAGGCTGGACTTCTTTGAATCTAATTGGGCATTCTTTGCTGGTTTTGGTAAATATACTTCCATTCTGGGGTCATTTTTCAGTTCATACTTCATATGCATTTTTTCCCCTTCAAGTGAACGATTGTTTATCATGTACAGTTTCCTGGGCCACATTATACGCTGATTATTTCCACATGGAAAACTATACACCGATATAGATCTTCACTTAGAATTTTACTTTTGCAGCTACCTCATGACCCATGCTTGTGTAATCATAATTACCAAAGCTGACACCTTTATCATGCCTTCAATTTTTTGTATGCGGACAGTTCTGTTTTCACTTATTTGAAAATCAACATGTGATCAACTGTATTCAATGCTTGATTTTGTTTGGTTTGAAAGAAAAAAAGGGATAATGGTTAAAGTACTAATTGTGTATTAATTTTTGGTAAATTAGGTTGCAAGCAAGACTAAAAGCAAAATAAATAAATAAAAACCGAGCACAAAGACAGTTATCTAATGGTGCCTCAAATTCCCTCTTGAAGTGCAATATTTTGACTTCAAGAGCATATCACATGGGAATATGTTCTAGATGTTTTTAGGTGCTTAAACACATTTGTTTACATGTTTGGAGTTATTAACATCCTCAGTGGTTGTACAGGGAGCCCTTGCGTTCTGCCTGTACTCTTTTTCTCACCTCTTGTGAGCTATGGATTTATGGCAATACTCTTTCCATTGGTATACTTTTCTTTTTATTTTGTTAGCAATTGACTCTTTACATAAAAGTTGACTGTGTTCTTGTTATTCACATATGTCGTAACCGTAGATGTTTCCAGTTTGTTTTGACAGCAACAGGTTCAGAGGCTGAGCAAGTTATTTCTTCTCAAAGGACAAAATGGGGAGGTGCTGGTTTGCGAAAGCTTCCAATATTTAATGCTGCAGATAAATTATCGTAAGCCCCTCATTGAATATGAAACTATGATCTCTGTGCTTAAAATGTGTTAATTCAAACTTGATTAAAAAAATAAAAATCCTAATTTCGTTATCATATATTGGATGGATATTGGAACATTTTCTGTTGAGCATATGCATTGAAAATGGATATTATGCATTGAACTCCAAAAAATACGAACAGTTTGTCATCTTTCATGTGTCATGAGGCAGTGTTTGACATTTGTAGGACAGACTCAGTTACGCTTTAATGGCAAAATGGGGGGGGGGGGGGGGGGGGGGTGTAGGTCCTCAAACTTTAAAACTGCTATTGTGATGAAATTATTGACAATATGTTCAATATTATATGGTTGGTCCTGAATTTGAGGAAGTAGCATTATTTGAGTTCTTATAGGGTCATGGAAAGCGACATTTCTATCTGTTTTGACGCTCGATTGATCCTGTACAGGATGCGGATTTTGTCTCTGTTTCCCCTGGAATCTCAGGAATTGCTTCAAAAAAAGAAAGACCGCTAAGAAGTTTGGCTTAAAGTTTCTATTGTGCTCTCATCTGTATGAGATGGTCCTAGTTCTTGAATTTTCCATTCAATCAACGAAGTCATCGATGCGTTGCGTTGCAGTTTTTATCTTATTGATATGATAATAATTTCTTAAGTCATATGTGGTGTTTGGTGCCATCGGATGATCCATCTCCACGCAAATTTGTACATGATTTAAATGCAATGCTATTGCATCAAGATCGAGCCTCATTGGAAGTGTTTGACCGTTTCGTTCTGTATATTGTACATAGAAAGTAGATGTCGACCGAAGTTTATCAAATGTACAGAAATGGTATTTCATCAAAGACCAATTTCAGTGGTCAAATTTGATCAACTTATTATGCAAACATGTCTCAGAAGTACTGCTACAACTTTTGTTACAACATGTCGCTTTCACAATTTGTTTATCGTGATTTCACCCGTTGTTATGGAACTTTCATATGCAGTGCCCAATGGTAGGATTTGAGTTTGGATCCAATATTTAGGGTAGTGCTATTCACGCATTCCTATCAATTTTTTGCCGCCGGATTGAATGAATTCATGGTAAAACAAGGGTTTGTAGGAGTTAAAAATAAGTGTAAATAGTATTATCCTAAATATAAGTTCCTCCACTCAAGTTCCCAATGAACAAATTTGATTATTTTATCATTATTGCTTTCATGAGTATGATAGTGTCATACCAGCTATGGTGGGGAGGGAAGACTTAAACTCAGAGCTTCAGGTGCAAGGTTAAATGGTCTTATAGCCTACTAAAACTACAAGCCTCTTGCTTTAGTTAATATAGCTTAAATTGTGGAGATGAGAAGTCGAACTTGAGTGCACAAATGAGATCAAACTCGATTACCAATGTTATTTTTATAGTATTAATTTTGAAATATTCATTTTTTTATTTATTACAAAACGATATTATAACTCTGATAGTGTTAAGGGAAGTGAGGAGGATTTAAACTCGAGATAAACTAGGTTGAAAAAGAACACCCAATTTACCAACATGCATCATTAATTTGAAACATTACTTTTCCTTCCATATATATGCCAAGATTTTTTATCGTAAATAAGATGATCTAGAGTAAAGAATTCTCTGAATTTTTTAACCGTTAACTCTTTATTTAAAAATATGATAATTAAAATAAAACAATTGAAAATATCATGCATGCAATTATGCAAGAGATTTTTCAATATGTTTAGAACACAGGGTTGTACGCCATATGTTAGGGTTAATTACACAAACACCCCCAGACGTTTTTTGTGTTTTCACAAAACCCCCTTAGGTTCTCAACATATCACAAGCACCCCTTAACGTTTTAAAATTATTTCATCAACCTCCCTCCATGACAAAAAAAAACCCTAGCAGTCATGACATAAGTTATGAAAATAGAAAAATACCCTTACGAAGTTAAACTAGTGTTTGGCTACAAGTTTTAGTTAGACCTATCATTATTTAAAATAAATAAATAAATAAATAACCCTAATAGTTCTACCTTATGAAAACCTTTTTTCACAGCAGCGTGAACACAAATATCTCTCGTTGGTTGGTTTCTCCAACCCTTGTTGTTCTGATTGCTTGGCCTAAACCTAATTAAGCTTCATTAATCAAGGTTGCTGAAATAAAGCAAAGAGCTATATTTGGCATGCAATTGAAGGTTGGTTTCATTAGGACATGCTTTTATTCGTTATTTTTCCATAGTCTTGTTATAGTGTGGTTTCATTATTCTATTCTTCCCTCACCCAATGAAATCAGAAATGTCCTTTTAGAATTTTCATGTCATTGTATCAGAGTTTGTGTGGTGTAATTTTTATTGTCTTGCAGTTCATGCTTTTGTGATGGTGTAATTTTGTATCTGATGTTGTATTTATTCTACTTTTTAAAGTGAGATTAGTTTAACAATATGGTAATGTTTGATATTGAGCTTCACTTTCAAAGCAACCCTACTCGAAAAAGCGTTAACGTTGACGGCGATAAGTATTCCCTTATTGATTTGTATGATCATGTTTTCTCATTGTGCATTAATAAAGAGGATGATGGGCAGTATATGGAATTTTTGGTTCAGTTTAGGCACCCAAGTATTAGTGTGCTACAAGCTATAAAATTAAACAATGATATTAAAAGCATGTTTCAGTTATTTGAATTGCACATGAAGTTTGTGGTTGATTTGTATTTTGACATAGTTAATGAGGATGAGAACGAGGGTGAAGATAGTGATAGCAGTGGTGACGAGGGTCGAGTACCTGGAGATGTTGGTGAAGGAGAAAACGAGTTGTTCCCATTCACGGATGATGAGGATGACGATTTGGAACCTAATATAAATAGTGAAGATGTGGTTAATGGTAACGAATATGAGGATTACACATCCAAGGCTACCAATGATTATAGCATTGATGATTATGGACAAGATTTGGACAATGATGATGGGCTTTCTAATTATAATGCGTACTCCGATCACGACAAGGTAGTTAGTTCTGAGGATGAGGAAGAGGTTGACTATATGAGGGGTTTGAGTAAGAGGCTATACAGGGATTGCTCGTCAGGAAAGGTGGAGTTGAAGGATGGTCAAGTGTTTAATGATATTAAGCATTTCCGGAATACACTTCAAGACTAGGTTATACAAGAAGGATTCGAAATTCATCAAAAGAAGAATGAAAGAACTCGAGTTACTGCTGTTTGTAAGGTATGATTCATTTTCATACTATTTATAGTATACATGTTTAATATTATTGCTTTGCTCATGTTTTATTTTTTAATTTTTTTTTATTTTTAACTCAGGCTGTTGGTTGTCCATGGCGTATTCATGCCTCTCCTACACCCACAATGTCCTCAATAACTTATATGATTAAGTCATACAACAATGAGCATATTTGCACTAGGGTTAAGAAGAACTCTAATGCAACTTCGACTTGGATAGCTAGAAAATTGGGTGATAGGTTAATCTCAGACCCAAACATGAAATCGGATGCTATGAAGAGTGAGCTAAAAGAAAATTATGGGGTTAAAGCTCGCTACATATGGTTATGGAGAGCAAGACATAAGGCTAAAGAGGCCGTGGAAGGGAAGCATGCTGCATGTTATGGTAAGTTAAGAAGATATGGGAATGAGGTTCTCAAATCAAATCCAGGGAGCATTGTGAAGATTCAGGTTGATATAAACTTGGGGCATACTATCTTCAAGCGTTTCTTCATTTGCTTTGCATCAATGAGAGATGGTTGTGTAAATGGATTCATGCCTTTTATTGGAGTTGATGGGTGCTTCTTGAAAGGGCCTTTTGGAGGCCAACTATTAACAGCAGTTAGTCTAGACGGTAGTTCTGGGGTGTTTCCAATAGCTATGGCAATAGATGAATTAGAGTGCACAGAAAGCTGGACATTCTTCATGACTCACTGGGAAACAATGATTGGTGATCACAACTTAGGCAACATTCCATGGACCTTCATGTTAGATAGACAAAAGGTAGCATTATTCTTATTTTGTGTTTTTAACGCACTTTGACTAAATGAATTTTGCTAACAATGTTGTGTATTTCAAGGGTGTTATTGACGTGGTAGCAAACATATTTCCACACTATCCACATAGACATTGTTGTAGACACATCTATAGCAATATGAGAAAAAAGGAACCCTGGGTTACTTCTTCAAAGTAACTTTTGGAAAGCGGCTAGAGCATGTGGTGTTGTGAGTTTTACTGAGGCAATGGAAGAAATAAAGAAACTTGATGAAGACGTATGGAATAGGCTAAATAAAATTCACCCTTCGTAATGGAGCAAGCTTGCCTTTGATCGTCATGTAAAGAATGATCATATTACGAACAATATGTCATAATCATTTAATTTGACGGTAAACAAGTGGAGAGGAAAACCAATATTAATGCTCATTGATACAATTAGGAAAAAAATGATGAGACGATATCCAAAGAGATGTGCAAGAGGGATGGAATGGCCAACTAGGCTAACTAAAGGCGCAAGAAAGAAGTTAAATACGAATTTGCAAGAATGTTGGAACATTACAGTAGCTCATGTAGGTAATAATTATCAAATTGTTTTTATTTATTCCATAGTACCTATATCTTTCTTTCTTTTTTTTTCTTTTCTGAAACACTTAGTATGACCTTTTTTTTTCATTGGACCAGGTGAAGACGAGTTTGAAGTGCATGACATTTCCCAAAAGCAGGTTGTGCGATTGCCTACAAGCCACTGCAGTTGTATGGAATGGAAAATTAGTGGGATTCCATGTAACCATTTTGAAGAAGTTGCTACAACTGGATTATGACTTTTATTTTATATTTTGGGTATAATATGATAATATTATGTTTGGTTGTGCATTGTTTTTAAATTTATAATGTTAAGTTTTATTTTGAATTGTTGCAACCTTTTGAAAATATTAGATTGTTGAATGTTAAAATGTTCTTAAATCTATCGTGTTAAGTCTTATTTTGATTGTATATTGATTTAATGCTTGAAGCGCGCAGTCATAGGGTAGGCTGCACTCAATGAATTGGTTGTTAGTATAGGGGAATAGTATTTTGAACAAGAAAAAGATGATCAAGAAACACAGAGGGGAATTTTTTGTATCGTGAAAGACAAAGCCACTTGGCTAGTCTAATTGGAATAATATGATAAATATTATGTTTAAGGTGTTTGGTTGAAAGTGCATCACATTCCTAACTGGAATATCATATTTCTCATTGGAATATAAACAAGGTTAGTTTTATCATTTAAATTTTATTTTTGTTGATGTCAGCATAGAACTAACAGCTCTAACTAAAGGGGTTTTGTGAAATGATTTTAAAACGTGAGGGGGTGTTTGTGATATGTTGAGAACCTGAGGGGATTTTGTGAAAACACAAAAAGCCTCAAGGAGTTTTTGTGCAATTAACCCCCATATGTTATTATAGAAGTGGTGGGAAGTTTTTTTCTTTTCAAATATCCCTCTATTGTTATGATGATATATAACGTATGTGCTCGTGTTCTGAGCATACTGAAAAATCCTTTCATCAATTTTGCATAATCGGGTAATATGCTCATTCTTCGGCCACGCGCCGTATTCCAATCTTATCAAAACCGCACTTACGACACACATGATTGGAGCACGTGAAAGCGCGTGGAAGCATAATTGAAAGACGATCTTATTCCCTCGACAAACAGATAAACTAGTACGACCAGACTGGTGGCTCCGTGACCATTGATGATGATCGAGGAGACCAACCAGACCCCATCCTGACCGTCCATCCACTTCAAGCAAACAGTCATTTGGATAAGTTTCAAGCTTAGCGTGTTGGGATTAAGTTAATCATTTTTTCCTAACTTTTTGTGAGCATACAAGTCAAACTAGTATCCATAACTTAATCACTTTATTA